ATAAATATGTTTAAGTATCCATAACGTAATTTTCAATACTTTTATTTATAAAAGATCATGGAAAAAGTTTAATGGTGTGAAAGTTAATAATCGCATAATAAATAATTTCTTAGAAGTTATGAACATTCGCTGTAATTCTCTTCGTTCCTATTTATATGTCATCATTTTAGGTTTCACGTTCCTTAGAAAACTAGGTGAGTTTACTTTTGTATCCTTATTTAGTGTTCTCTTGAAGTCAAGTTTCAATAAATGAACATGAATTAATTTACTTTAATTAACTAATTTGGCCAATGAAAATGAATTAATTATTTAGCTTTTCTATATTGGACAAATGTATAGTTTCAAGGCTAATAACTTTCAAAGGGTAAAATAGGAAGAATAGTATTATTTATGCATTGATTTTGTAAAATGACGAATATTAAAGACCATTTATTTTTAGTAAGAATGACATATAAAAAAAGAGTGACACATAAGCAATAGACTGGTAAACTTCTAATCTTGATTCCAACTTGTGCCAACAAGAGGTTGAAATATGGTGGAGGGGTTGCATCTTAAGTACGGGAGTTAGAATCAATGAATAAATTCATGACCCATTCAATCTGTTTTTGTTTGCACGGATCGGGATTAAGAACTCACTTATTTATTAATTTAGCTCATTTTAATCGACTTAGTTCAACCGATTTTATAATCGTGCATATATGTAATTCAGGTTAACCCATTAAATTTTTTGTCTTCTTTTACTTTCTAGTTTGATATGTTTTTTTTATAGTTATGATATACAAGGAAACGTTTATTAGATACTCAAACAAATTATAATAAAATAAAAATTGAATTTAAAACATAATAAGAATAGCACGAATTGAGTTATTATCTGATTTTTGGCTCATTTCAGCCCAACTCAATTCAACCCAAATAACATTTAAGCAAGTCATGATTCATAAACTCAACACGTTTTGACATTCTCAAATTCATCCCAAGCCGTTTATTTGACACCTCTAATCTTAAGCTTGTCATCAAAGTAATCAAGTGCATGTATTGTTTAATGGAACGATTTTTGGGCCTTTTGGATAAACAAATATAGATGAAAGATTACCCGTTTCTGTAGCAACGGTACCTAGTCATGTGCAATACTACAGATATAAACGTACGAAATTTATGTAAAATGGTTGAAGTCCAATTATATTATGGCCAAAAATTCATGGAAAAATGACTAAAGTTCAATCATATATGACCTGAAATTCATGTAAAAATGGTCGAAATTGCTTCCTTCCTTCCAAGTTGTGTGAAGTTGGGTAAAACAAGTCAAACTCCATACACGTATGTCTGAACTTCAAACCATGTAAAGTAGATTTAAAAGCGACTAAACTTGCAAAAAAATGAAAAAACTTTAGCTATGACTTAAATGAGGGTCTTGAAATCAAGCCCATAACTTGAACCACTATAGTAAGGTAAGGGTCAAGACCAGAAAAAAAAATGTAGATTCCTTGGACTCCATATATCATTTGAAGCAATTTGGTCCAAATCAACTGAGTAGTATCCACCTCACTCAGTCTGGATGCTTGAATAGTACTTACATATTTGGCTGCTAGTCAACAATAATTATAATTGCTAGTTAAATATACCGAAAGTATACTTGTTTGTTCATGAATTCGTTTGGCTTGAATAAGCATTCTTTCGATTTGGAAAAAGAATTGGCACTATTGCTTAAGAAAAATACATGACTTCTTCCTATATCCTTAAAGCTTTTATGAGCAGAATTACCCTATAATTGCACAGGTTAGATGATTTCTTTCCATATACTTAGGGAGAGTTACTTGATATCTGCGCTAGTGAGAACAAACTGATTGACGAAACAGTTGAAGTTATGGCAAGCTTGCCTAAACACCAACAACAACGTACCTAGTATAATACACAGATATTACCCCTACCTAGGCAGGTAGTGAGATTGTTTTCAATAGATCCTCAGCTCGGGAAAACACTATAGGAAGCTTGCTAAAACACCATGTCATGAAAAAACACTATTTTCTCCCTGATTTTGATCTCCATTTCAGATAGATACCTCATACCATTGAGGTTGTGATTCTCCCAACTCAAGTTAAATTTCCAAGTAATTAGCTTCCAAGACTAAATAAGAGTTTACTGTATCATTTCAAGGACTAGGAAAGTGTAAAGGGAAAAAGAACGTTCAACTTCACATCCTTTATAAGACAAAGACTGAAGCTTTAACATATAGGATAAGGTACAAGAAAAATTTCTTTAGATGTTAATCAATAGTAAAAGGTAGGACTTAACGAACTAACTAACCATCAAGTCCTTATAAATGGATAGATTAGCGAATAATTCGATTCAAAATTTTATAGGATCAAACTCAGACAGAATAGAAGAACATCAGAACCTTACATCAGATAAAGCAATGCTGTAGACTTGTAGCAGAGGAAGTATTTGACTTACTGTATTATGGAACAAACTTGCTGGTAACTGCCAAAGGGAATTAGTTATCAACAAGATCTGTCGAATCCAATCAGCTTCAATTTGCAAGATTGATTTTTGCATTTAGCCTACAGCAGTTCAGACTTCTCGTCAACACTGTGTGTTTTCAGAATACTAACTGAAAACAGAAAAGCAAAAAAATGTAATGAACTATAACTGAAAACTGAGAAAAATCTCAGCACCTTTCGGTGTCAAAAATAAACAAAATCTATTAAGTAGCCACAATTTTCTTGAGCTGTTCATACAAATCAGGCATCTGATCCTTGAAGGGCTGCACAAAATAATCTACGAACTTTGTATCTGGTAAGCTCAGAGCATAATAGAGATCTAACTTTCTCCTCTCAACCTTCTTATCGTCCAAAACTTTCAAAACTTGCATCCGAGGTACCACCCTTTTTTCCATACTAAAGGCCAAAATTGCAGGATGAGAAACCAAGTAAGCAGTTCCCAAACCAAGCTCCTTCATGAAAAGATTCAGTGCTTTCTGAATTCTAACTTCAGAGAGGCCAATACAAAAAGGTAGCTTCCGGAACATCTCGAGTATATCATCATCAGACCATCCAAAACTCTTAAAAATTCCAAACTTCTTTTCCAACTTAGACTTGTTTTGTGAGTTTAACACTTGACATCCATAAATAAAACTAGGGGAATCACGTGGAACTCGAAAATCGTTCTCCATCCTATGCAAAAAACCTTTAATCCTCTCGGGATTTTGAGCAATATAACTCGGATTTCTAAGCATGAGTTTTTTAATTCTCTCATCAGGAACACCATAGTTTTTCAACAACAATAGATTAGTCTCCATAATATGATGAGCACGAAAAGAAAGCAACCAAGGAAATCTCTTTAACGCCTTAACTACATTTTCATCACTACCCAAAATTCTCCTCAGGAGATCAATGGTAGGTCTCAAATGAGTATCTAAACCTCTATCAACAATTTGTGAACCTTTAGCAATTACATCCACCAGGTCCGACCCGGATAACCCGAGATCCATAAGGCACTGGAATTTGGGTTTTAGGGTTTTGGAAACATCATGGTATAGTAATTTGGGAACCCTAGATACCATTTTTTTCATCTGGGTGTTGTCGAAACCGGTTTGTTTCAAGAAATTGATGACTAAATCAGGATTCTTTAAGTTTTTACGTGAAGTTACCTTGGAGGATGTAGATGCAGCTTCTTCATTGGAGAATCCGAGAGAATCAACCAGATACTTCACCAAGACATGGGTCGGGGCAGGGGTTGCGGTTGATGAGTAGAGATACTGAGATCTGAAATTGAAGGAGGAAAGGAGGTCTCCAAAGCCATTGCAATGAAATATGGAACTGTGAGTTGATACAACTACAGCTTTGCCTCTGAATCTGATAAGCATTTCTCTTGCAACTTGAAGAGTTCACTCCCAAGTCCTATGGCTACTTTCCAACTGTGAGTTATGTATACTTTCCTTTCGAAGAAAAGAACCTCAAATAAAGGTGACCTTTTTAAACTTAATAGAGTTGAACAAGTAGATATTTACGTTTATAATTAGATAAGTTCGGGTGAAGTATACGGGGGAGAAGTTAGGCCATCTTTTATATCAGTCACATTGTTCGACTATATGGAGTTTTCGTTTCCATTGTCTCTAATCGAGGTTCATTGTTCACTTCTCACTTTTGGATGGTTTTACATCATGGTTTGGATATTTGACTAGATATGAGTATAATTTTTTACCCTCAAACGGATGATCAGTCCAAGCGGATGATTCAGATGTTGGAGGATATGCCTTGAGCATGTGTGATTGACTTTAGTGCTCGATGGGATTAGCACTTGTCCTTAGCAGAGTTTGTCTACAACAATAATTATCATTTGTTGCCTACAACAATAGTTATCACTCTTTGCCTACAACGACAGTTATCACTCTTTGCCTACAACAACAGTTATTACTCCAGTATTAAGATGGCTTCATTTGAGCAACAGATATCACTCTTTGCCTACAACAATAGTTATCACTCCAGTATTCAAATGGCTCCATTTGAGGCGTTGTATGACAGAGGATATAGATCTCTAAGTGGTTGGTTTGATTCAACTGAAATAGACTCTTTAGACAAAGACTTGTTATGTAGTAAGTGTGTCTACTTGCAAAAAAGGTAAGATTTTTTTAATTTGTGGTCGGGAATAATCATTGATTATTTGTAGAATTATAAATCATTCTATTAAAAGTAAATGTGTAATTTGAAAGTTAAATTGTTTCAATAAGGGAAAGTGTGATAATCTTTTGGAAGAACTAAAAAGATAAGTATGTGCCAAATAAATAGGGACAAAGAGATTTGAACTTTTTTATTTTATTTTTAATGAAATAATAATGAATAATCATACAAATATTTCTATAACTTCAATATCAGTCTTCTTAAAGAGAGATTCACCATTAAAGTTAATGAAAAGCCTAGTTAGTAGAGCCAAGTTGTTTGACAAAACATAGGTATCCTTACAATGAAATTAACCAAAGAAGTATTGCAATTTCAATGACAATTAGAAGGAACTACCACATGTTGGATTTCAATAACCCAAAGTATGATGAAAAAGAATACTCAACACTTCAACTTCACATCAAAGATAAGACAGAGACTAAAAGAGTCAAAAGTAAGGTACAATAAAAATTCTTGAGATGTCAAGAACATCAGATCAGCAGTAAGCAGAAAAGTATTCGACTTTTGTCTTCTGGAACAAACTCTGTGGTAACTGCCCAAGGAAATCAGCTTAACAACAAGATGTATTGAAACTGTATAGCTTACAGCAGTTCGGACTTGTAAATATGACGAAGACGTTTCAATAAACTATGTCCTGACTACACGAATGATGTTTGGAAATACCGAGTCTGTTTTAGTTGTGACCTGTTCACAATGAAAAGCAAAAATGTATTGAACTATAACTGAAAATTTAGAAAGATCTCAGCACCATTGGTGTCAAAAATAAACAAAATCTACTTAGGAGCCACAATTTTCTTGAGCTGTTCATACAAATCAGGCATCTGATCCTTGTAGGGTTGCACAAAATAATCTATGAACTTTGTCTCTGCTAAGCTCAGAGCATAATAGAGATCCAACTTTCTCCTCTCAACCTTCTTTTCGTCCAAAATTTTCAATACTTGCATCCGAGGTACCACCCTTTTATCCATACTAAAGACCAAAATTGCAGGATGAGAAACCAAGTAAGCAGTTCCCAAACCAAGTTCCTTCATGAAAAGATTCAGTGCTTTATGAATTCTAACTTCCGAGAGGCCAACACAAAAAGGTAGCTTCCGGAACATCTTGAGTATATCATCATCAGACCATCCAAAACTCTTGAAAACTCCAAACTTCTTTTCCAACTTAGACTTGTTTAGTGAGTTTAACACTTGACATCCATAAAGAAAACTAGAGGAATCACGTGGAACTCGGAAATCGTTCTCCATCCTATGCAACAAACCTTTAATCCTCTCAGGATTTTGAGCAAAATAACTCGGATTTCTAAGCATGAGTTTTTTAATTCTCTCATCAGGAACACCATAGTTTTTCAACAACAGTAGATTATTCTCCATCATATGATGAGCACGAAAAGAAAGCAACCAAGGAAATCTCTTTAAGGCCTTAACTACATTTTCATTACTACCCAAAAGCCTCCTCAGGAGATCAATGGTAGGTCTCAAATGAGTATCTAAACCTCTGTCAACAATTTGTGAATCTTTAGCAATTACATCCACCAGGTCCGACCCGGATAATCCGAGATCCATAAGGCACTGGAATTTGGGTTTTAGGGTTTTGGAAACATCACGGAATAGTAATTTGGGAACCCTAGAAACCATTATTTTCATCTGAGTGTTGTCGAAACCAGTTTGTTTCAAGAAATTGATGACTAAATCAGGATTCTTTAAATTTCTACGTGAAGTTACCTTGGCGGATGTCGATGCAGCTTCTTCATTGGAGAATCCGAGAGAATCAACAAGGTATTTAACCAAGAAATGGGTCGGGGCAGGAGTAGAGGTTGATGAGTAGAGATACTGAGATCTGAAATTGAAGGAGGAAAGGAGGTCTCCAAAGCCATTGCAATGAAATATGGTGCTGTGAATTGATACAGCTACAGCTTTGCTTCTAAATCTGATAAGCATTTCTTTTGCAATTTGAAGAAAATACTCCCCAGTCCTAGGGAAGCTATGTATACTTTACTTTGTAAAAAATAAAATAAAATTGAAAACACGTTTTATATTTGAACTATTGATATACACCCATTTTGTAACATGAGTGAAATATATCCTTAAATCTCATCAAGTTCAGGAGTGTTTTTCAACACTTTTCTAAATTTTTAATTAAGACTCTCAGGCTTTTACAAGAGTTTGAGACAGCTTATTATGTCATGTGACAAATCATGAGTATATCTAAGTTTAGTTAGTCAAATAGAAGAGTGTTTTTAAGGCTGTTAACGTATCTTTTAACTAAATCTCATCTAATATCTATGACCTCCTACTTAGTCAAGTAGAGGGGTGTTTTTAAGGTTGTCAACGTGTCTTTGAACTTGATCTCGTTTGATATTTATGCTCTCCTAGTTGTGTACACCCAAAGTTATCTATGTCCTCTTTGATATCTATACCCTCCTAGTTGTGCACACACAAAGTTGGACGACATAGATATCAGTTTGAGTCAATTTAAAGAACATATTTATATATTATGTTTGTTATATATATATAGGAAAACTCGCAGCTATTACGCTTTAGGTACACACAGGGTAAAAACCTCGCTCATATGCAATAACCACACAAGAAAGGTAACCCGCGCTAGACAAGCCCGATGTGACGAGCTCAACCCGTTTTCATATTTAGTTACTCCACTAGTTTTAATTTACGTGACACACTTTGATTTAACATTAAGTTTTTCTTCTATAAAAAATTAAGATTTTTGAAATTTTTGATCGAAAATAATTATTGATCATTTGTCTACAAGCCATTCCATAAAGATAAATGTGTAATTTCGAAGTTAATTTTTTTCAATTAGGGAAAGTGTGGTACTCTTTTTCGAATGAACTAAAAAAGAAAAGTATATGCCAAATAAATCTGGACAAAGGGATTTGAACTTTTTTATTTTTAATGAAATAATAATCAATAATCATATAAATATCTATATAACTTCAATATCAGTGGCAGTGGGAGATTCACCATTAAAGTTGATGAAAAGCCTAGTAGAGCCTAACTTGTTTGACAAAACATACATCAACAGCATTCTCAATGAAATCCCACCTGTATGAATTCATGAAATAACCAAAGAAGTAATGCAATTTCTATTACATTTAGAAGAAACTACCACATGTTGGATTCAATAACCAAAGTATGATGAAAAAGAATGTTAAACACTTCAACTTCACATCAAAGTTAAGAGAAGGACTAAAAGAGTCCAAAGGTACAACAAAAATTCTTTAGATGTCAACAACATCAGATCTGACCAATTGAGTAAGCAAAAATAGTATTCGATTTCTGTCTTCTGGAACAAACTCTGAGGTAACTGCCCAAGGGAATCAGTTTAACAACAAGGTGTATTGAAACTGTACAGCTTACCGCAGTTCAGACTTGTAAATATGAAGAAGACGTTTCAATAAACTATATCCTGACTATACGAATGATGTTTTAGTTGTTACCTGTCAAAATGTATTGAATTACAAATGAAAATTTCAGAAAGATCTCAGCACCCTTAGTACCAAACGTAAACCAAAAACTACTAAGGAGCCACCGTTTTCTGGAGTGGTTCATTCAGATCAGGTATCTGATCCTTGTAGGGAAGCACAAAATACCTTATGAATCTTGACTCAGATATGCTCAGAACACTAGAAAGGGCCAAGTTTCTTCTCTCAAGCTTCTTTTCGTCCAAAATTTTCAACACTTGCATCCGAGGTACCACCCTTTTTTCCAGACTATAGATCAAAACACCTAGATGAGAAACCAAGTAAGCTGGTCCAAGACCAAGCTCCTTCATGAAAAGATTCAGTTTTTCCTGAATTCTAACTTCTGAAAGCCCAATACAATAAGGTAACTTCCGGAACATCTCAAGTATATCATCATCAGACCATCCAAAACTCTTGAAAATTCCAATCTTTCTATCCAACATAGATTTCTTTTGCGAGGATAACACTTGAAATCCATAATGAAAAAATGGGGAGTCACGCGGAACTTGAAAATCGTTCTCCAGTCTATGCAACAAATCCTTAATCCTTTCAGGCTTTTGTGTAAGATAATTAGGATATATAACCACAAGTTTTCTTATTTTCTCATCAGAAAACCCAATGTTTCTCAACAACAATCGATTAGCCTCCATAGTATGATGAGGACCAAAAGTAAGCAACCAAGGAGCTCTCTTTAATGCCTTAACTACATTTTCATCACTACCCAAAATACTCCTAAGAAAATCAATGGTAGGTCTCAAATGAGTAACTAAACCTCTATCAATAATTTGTACATCTTTAGCAATTACATTCACTAGGTCCGACCCGGATAACCCGAGATCCATAAGGCACTGAAATTTGGGTTTTAGGGTTTTGGAAACATCACGGAGTAGCATTTTGGGTGCTCTAGATACCATTTTTTTCATCTGGGTGTTGTCGAAACCGGTTTGTTTCAAGAAATTGATGACTAAATCAGGATTCTTTAAGGTTTTCACTGAAGTTACCTTGGAGGATGTAGAGGCAGCTTCTTCATTGGAGAATCCGAGAGAATCAACAAGATACTTGACCAAGAAATGGGTCGGGGCAGGAGTAGAGGTTGATGAGTAGAGAAATTGAGACCTGAAGCTGCACAAACCGACGCCATTGCAGTGAAATATGGAAGTGTGAGTGCCTCTGAATCTGATGAGCATATCGTCTAACGGTCTAACGTTGCAAGAGCAGCAAAAAACTTTTGAATGTTAAAAATGAATTACTAAGCTTATTGCCATTATTGCATATAAAAGGGGGGGAAAAGCTCGGAAACGTATTAGAAATAGTTCAAAAATGCTCTCCTTCCACCTATTGATTTAAAAATGTCCTTAACGTTTTGTTTAGATTCAAAAATGCCCTTAAGTTAACAGAAATATGACATGAAATTTAACAAAACAAATGGTCAATTTTCATTGATCCACGTCAAATAAAACAAATGGTCAATTATAGTTTACAATAATTACCATTCGTGACCTCCTTTTAGTTATAATTATGTGGTTCACATTTTAGTAAAGGTGTAGTTTTATCCTCGTTATACTATGGAGGACAAATATAAAACTTGGTTATTCGTATATATATTTTAGAACTCCTTTAACAACTTGTGCATTTAGTTATCATTTTCAATCGCGAATGATTCAAAACTATTCTATAACAAATAGTTATAATACACTTATTGGCGCTCACATCAGATGGAGAGTAAACAATCTTGTATGGGAAACTGTAGCTCAACCTAGACATAGATTTGTTCTTTAGTAGGAGAGCTTGTAATTATAGCAATTTTGATTCGTAGGATTATTTGTAACTAGGCTGATTCTGAAGGCCTAACTTCTCGTAATAACTTTCCTGGTAGATGGTTATGAGATTAGGTGTTCCCTTATGCGTATTGGTTCTTCTTGCTGGTTATGCCAATATTCATATTAGTTATCAAAAAAAAAACTTTTCAACTTTTCAAAGTGTTACATATAGATAAACTAAGTAGGTGTATGGTCATAGATTCCCAATACTTTTTTATATTATTTGAAATTTATAACATTGATTTTTTGAAAGGCAGGTAAAGAAAAAGTGGACAACTAATATGGAACGGACGGAGTATACTCTGGCCAGAATGAGAAGAGCCATCCCAATGTGGATTGAGTTTCACACATTCAGCTTCAAATGGGAAAAAAGGTTCATTTGCAGACACTGCTTCAACTTGGGACCTCCTTGCACTGAAGTAACCAAAATAGTATTCCAATTACAATAACAATTAGAAGAAACTATAAAGTACAAACATATTTAATGGGAGGTAGCAATAGTTGGGATGAACGCAAACAGGTCTCGACACCATAGAGAAATACTACCCTCATGTTCCATACTGGCTACACCATTGGCCATTGGCATCTAAATTTAGCTTACATGCATAACAGATGAGGTAATTCACCGCCTTGCACTATGATCAACATGGAGAAGCAAAACAAGAGCACAAATTTCAAGTTCGAATAACAATTCAGTTAGGAATTGGGAAAAAGATGATGGTTGATTGAAAACACTTTCACTCATCTCACACCAAATTTCATCTACTAACGTAACGTAATACATTACGTTATACATAAGGGAACAAACCAGACGACCAAATCTGAACCAAGACCAGCAAATGGTAAGATGAAACAGTAATTCCGCCAAGTAGCTAACATTACATTGTAAAATTCAACAAAAGAGCTATCTTGTGCTCAAGTGAAGCTAAATTAAATATTGTGAGAATAGAAAGGCTTCTCATTGACTTGATCAACAATGTCCTAGAGTTGCTCGGAGTCCTTAACTATGTAAAATATGGTAGGTAATTAATCACAGAATATCCTGAGGTTTCCTATAGGATAATTCTATATGAATTTCATTATTCAAATACAATGAATCTAGATGTGGAAAATGTAGACACATATTAACTTGAAATTCCTACAACTATATAGCTCGTGAGTCCCGATAAATTCAGTACGATTTTAAGTTTATCATGAACTGCAAGCTATTGGAGAACTTGCACCACAGTATATTTTTTAAAGAAATTTATAATGATGGAGACAAATATCATTCAGTATTCAAGGCAGAAAAGTGTAGCACCGATAGGAATATTAGCTGGACGGCTACATGATTAAAAAAAAATTTACTTAGTCTGCAAGCTCTGATTAGTAGCTCTAAATGTAACAAATGAACATCGACCAACCACTTAAGGGTTCTTTCAGCTCTGATTAGTAGCTCTAAATTTTCCCCGCCCCACCCCCCAAAAAGGAAAAAGGTATGGCAGTTCCACGAAGAACAAGCTAATTAGCTACTATCATTTGCAGAAACATAATTTATATGCTTAGCACCATACTATGATGAAAACTAGCTTGTCAAGCATTTGACTAAGACTAGAGTCTATTGCCACATAAGAAGTAATTTTAGGCACCCAAACTTACTTCAGTACAAGCAATTTACCCCACAAAATTATTGTATAATGAGTTAAAAGCAATATATCCTCATGGTATAACAGCAATTCTAGAGTAGTTAATTCACTTGCTTTTCTACTTAATGGAAGATATAGAACCTGCCACTTTGTGGTTCATCATTTTCCAGAAAACAACAAGACATCAAGTGAGACATTTATTAGCTAGCAACATGTTTATCAAATACTATAGATACTTGTTGAGTGATTGGTGCTTTTTTTGGGAAAAGATGTAGGTCACTAGAAAGCAAATTAAGTTTGAATGGCAAAAACACTCCAATGATATTTTGCTATGATTTTTGGCAACACAGACGATAATATTCGAAATACCAACTGAAAAAAGAAAAGCAACAAAATATCTGGATAATTTTTTAAGAAAGTCGCAACACCCTTAGTGCCAAAAGTAAACTAAAACTATTAAGGAGCCACAGTTTTCTTGTGTGATTCATACAGATCAGGCATCTGATCCTTGTAGAGAAGCACAAAATACTCTATGAACTTAGACTCTATTAAGCACAGAACAGTATAAAGACTTGCCTCTGAGGCTCCACCTTTTTTCCAGACTATAGACCAAAATTAAAGGATGAGAAGCTAAGTAAGCAGGTTCTAAACCAAGCTCTTCTTAGAAAATTCGAGGAGGAAGAACGGCATTCTATATTAATCATTTTCTTTCAAACACAAAGAGGAGGAAAGTATTCTTCTTTACTTCTTCCAAATTGAAATACATAAAACTATGAATATATTGTCTTTCTGAGTATTTTCACGTTATCATGTATTTATATACCAATTAAACATAGAGAAATTTTAATATTTGTTATTATTATTATAACTACTGTTTATATATGTTAAACTTATCTTTCACCTTGATTTTTATTTGGCAAGATGATGACATGAGTTGAGCTTAAATGGAGAAACATGGTCATTGAGGATTCATGTAGCTGATCTCAACTTGTTTGGGATTAAGGCTTAGTTGTTGCTGTAAGTTTCTCATATTATAAGCTTAACAAACCCAGGACAACATTTCACTTACTTAAAAGACAATATTTTTCCATATAGCATCCTAGCTAGGGTCAAATGAGCAAAAGGTAAACTGGTAGCAACTAGCAACTATAGCACATAAACAAGGAAGAGAACTACAAAAGCAGTTGACTTTATTCTCTATATTGAGATGTCACTGGCGAATCCTTAAGCGGCATACAACAGGAAAAGAGAAAACAACTGAGTCATTTGTACTTGCTGAAAGCACCAACTGAACTTAAAAAATATAGCCGTCTTCTTTCTTTTTCTACTTACCACTAGCACCAAAAAGTGAATAACTATTAACTAGCAACAAGTGAACTAACAGTAATGTAGATTTGAAAGGTAATCTGATCAAATAAAATTCACTTTGCCTTGCTGATAACAAAGATCACCGTGACGTCCATCAAAAGTAATAACAAGATTAAGTAGTATCTATTTTCCTATCCTCTTGAGGTACAAATCATACAAGTTAGGCAGTTCAGCTTTGACAGGCAGCACATACTTGTCCAAAAACTTTGATTCAGGCCATGTCATAACAGTGTAAAACTCCTGCCTACTCTTTATGAGATTCTTTTCATTGACAAATTTCCAGATTTCATACCTGGGCATTAGTCTCTTCTCCAAACTGTATGTTAAAAGCGAAGGGCGAGAAGCTATGTAAATAGACTTGAATCGGACTTCTTTCATCAAAAATGTCAATGCAGTTTCAATTCGTGCCTCTGATAGGGCTACACAGTAAGGTAGCTTTTGCAACATGGTGAGAATATTGGTGTCCGACCACCCAAAACTCTTGAAGACTCCAACTTTAGTGTCTACTTTCTCTTGACTCAAGTTAGCAAGCACACTAACGATGTGGAGAAACACTGCTGAGTCAGGGGAAACGCCAACTTCTTTTTCCACCCTATGCAGCAATTCCTCAAGCTTCTTAGTACTATGTTTAAGAATGCTAGGATTTCTAAGCACAATATGCTTGATCTTATCATTTGAACAGCCAAATGATCTCAACAAATTCAGATTGGCTTCCATAGTTCCACCTTTATAGTAACTAATCAACCAAGAACATCTCTTTACAACCCTAACCACATTTTCATCACTATCCAACACCTTTTTAAGTGAACTTAAAAGGGGTTTTATACTGTTATCTAATCCTCTCTGAAAAAATGCCCAATCTCTGAATAGGACTTTAACTAACTCGGGACCAGATAATCCTATTTCAGAAAGACAGTGTAATTTGGGTTTAAGGGTTTTTTCAACATCATAGAATAGCAAGTCTGGGAACTTGAAAACCAAGATTTTGATTTGGGTGTCGTTAAAACCTGTTTGTTTCAAGAAATTGACGCATAAAGCTGGATTCTTGGAGGAATTAGTGCGTGTTACCTTTGCGGATGCTGAAATAGCTTCTTGTTTGGAGAATCCGAGTGAGTTGATGAGGTACTTCTCTGTGAAATGGGTCGGCACAGTTGCCACAGCCGTTGAGTATCGAAAGAGAAACCCATTACCCTCAAAGTTGAATAATATAGCTCGAGCTTTGACAAGCATCCTGGCAGAAACCCAAAACTGGACAAGACCTTCAAGGGTTTATGCTCTCATTTCTTCTCAAGGTTGAAGCTCATTCATTGGCTTTTGAAATTAAAATAGGTGATATTCCTTTTATTTCATTTTAACAGAATTTTTGGGGTTTTTGTTTATTTAAAATAATTGAATCATTCATTCCAGATTGAGAGTTGGCATTACTATTGAGAGGCTAAAAGTATTTTTTTCTTTTTAGAAAAAAAAAAGTGTGTCAAATCTTTAAAACTGTTTTTAAATGAAAACAAAAATAGTTTTTCTGCGAGTAAAAAACTTTGCTTCTTAAAGAAAAAAAAATAGAAATAGAAAATTACTTTTTGAAAGATTAAAATATTTCTTCCATATATACATATTTATCAATTAATTAATCAACATATCTCTTAAGTTTGGTTGATTTTTATTCAAGAATATTTTATTTTTATATGTACCCTCCGTCATATTTGCCCCTATGCTTTTAGAAAAGGGTTTTATTTATCATTCATATTTTTTTAAATATATTTACCCCTATCATCTAACATTAGATACATATTTGCCCTCGAACAATTAAGTCTCATATTTGTACTAAAAAAGTCAATATCGTAATATAATCTACTTTGTAACCGTCAAATTCTTTTTTTTTCGTGCTTTTCTTTGGGAAAGTGACAATGAAATGGATTGAGATTTATGGATTAAATGGGTGGGTAAAATATTTGAAATTGGATATAAATTATAATAATTAAATTAGGATGAAATATTAAGTGGAATAAATATATATCCATGTAGGCATGCCATGTAGATGTCACACAGGATGATAAAAGATAGACATATGAGACTTAACCGTTCGAGGGCAAATATGTGCCTAAAGTTGAATGGTAGGGTAAATATATATTAAAAAAAAAGGTATAACGAAGAACAAATATAATCCTTTTCTAAGTGTACAAGGGCAAATATGACCCTTTTCTATTCTAAAAATAAGCAGTTTTTTATCAACGATGTCAAATAGGCTCTGAGAGCCTAGGCTGTGAGAGTCTATTTGATATTGTTGTTGGGAGGGCAGAAGCACCTATGTGGATAAACAATATTTTTTATTGAAAAATTAAGCATTTGTCAAATCAGTAGAAGTGTTTTTAAAAGGATTAATTGTCAAATAGTAAAAGTGTTTTCAAAAGCACAAAGATATTAAGAAGTTTTGTGGGGTGATAGAACACTTCCAAAATTAAGTTGTCTTTATACAAATACAAAATAACTTCAGTGGTGACTTTATGTTTTTTCGAAAACATCAAAATACATACATTCACTCCATATTTTGCATCTTTGAATGCAGATGCATATATGATTTCATATGCAAACATTATCGAGCATATGTAGTTGTGTGTTCTTGAGAGAAAGCATGCACATTTTGTTTGCAAACACTATTTATTCATTCATTTATAGTATGGTAAAGTGATGAAAGAAGTTAGAATGATTCATATAAATGCATAAATAAATGTGATTTCTTTTAATTCTATTAAATTTGTTATCAAAAGAAAGACAAAAGGTAAAAAAAAACGTACTAAAAGAAGATAAATGCAAGGCTGAAGTAATTTAGTGAAATTAGAATGTGTCTGTTTAAATTCAGCAGGGGTTTAATGTGTTTTCTTATCATGAATAATTTTAGAAAAATGAGATAAAAGCTCAAAAATCAGATAAAATAGATAAATATCATTTAAATACTAATGATGGCCATTGAGATGTGCCACATCACCGTTTTCATATTCTATTTTATATATATATATATATATATATATATAGATTGCTTTATTATGCATAGAGATTAACATAATCTCCCCCAACAACCACAATAATGATAATAGTAAGAATTAACAACTGAAAATTAATTGTCCTTTATTATCTTTCAAAGACAATTAGGACAGCAAATCTTGACTTTTTATTTTTATTTTATTTTTGCATAAAGAAGAGATATTGAGATTTAACAATTAATTAAAGCAAACTTTATAATGGCCTAAGTATAATGTCTTGAAAAATCACTAGGCCATTACGATCTAAAATGAAATATTTCTCCCATCCATCGATATTGTTTAAGGTAATAAAACGAACTTCACCAACTTTATCATGATTAATTCTAGATTATTAGATGATAATTAAGAGTTTTCTAAATGATTTTGCAACTTAATTACATGTTTACTTTTTAGTTTTTAGTTTTTTTTTTTGGGGGAGGGGGGCGGGG